ATGTCTGATAAATCTAGTATTTTAAGTCCCTGGGGATCTAATTCTGCTGTTTATTGTTTGCCTTGACTCATTAATACTGGCTGTTTCCTTGTAAGTTGTGTTATTTTGGATTATGAGCTCTTACTGGCTGGGACTTACCTATAGAAAACCTGAAAACTCTGAAATGAATGATTTTTCTTGAAGAGATTCATATTTCCTTCCGCCAGATTCCTGGGGACAATTGAAGTTAACTCTTAATTTTCCTAGACTACACAAGCAGTGTGAGTTTGAACCCCAATCTCATCTGTGAGCAGGATGTGGATTCTCAAGGGAGAATTATTGTCTCTTCTAGATGCCAACCCTTGATAGAGAAGTGTCCTTCTTGTTTTCCTTTCCTGATGGCAGATTATTTTTTTTCCTAGTCCAGTCTATCAGTGATGATGATGATGAAAGAGATCTAGTTCCAATTTCTGATCTTGCTGAGTCCTGAGCCCTTGACATCTAGTCCCTTCAGGATAATGAAAACCAGGGTTCTAGGATCCAGGGAGTAGTAAACATATTCAGGGAAGCCACTACTTTGGACAATCAATACAATTGTTTGGAAAAATAAAGAAATAAAAATACTTCAATAAATCATGAATTATTAATACTAATCACCCAAGTTAAGAATGTATATGTATTTGTGTGTATATTTAGGAAATACTTTAAATATGAATTTGTTTCCTTCTGGTGGTATCAGGGCTTATATTGATAATTTTGTATTCAACTGATGACACTCAAAAGACTCTGAAATTTTTAAAAAAATGTTCTCAAGGTCAAATCAAATTGAAGGCAATCATTCTTTATTCCATTTATAAGACCTAGTAACTTGTCTTGGTAAAGCTAGTACTAAAAATGCCTCTTTGTAGACAGGTAGTTAAAATACCATACAAAACTCATTTTTGACTGTCAAACCAAAATTATTTGCAAGCCATAGATACATACAACCTTGTATGCTGACACCTCACTTAACTGTTAAATCACCTGAAAGATTATCTTGTCTTTCTTTTATGTGAATTCAGAAGCACAAAGCTATTTAAAATTCCTTCTCCAGAGGAATTCTATTAGGAGTATTATATTTCTTTGGCAGTCCTAAAAGGAACCAGCTCGATATTTTAACATATTTTTTAAAGCTACTTTGGGTTATTTTTTAAAAAGTTAGATTGAAACCTGAGAAATATGCACTATGCAAATGGCATGAATTGTATCAGAGTTCTACAGCTCAAAGTGTTCTTTCACACCTGTCTGGTAGCAAGGTAAACCATTCCTATTAGCACTGTGACATTAAAAAATGCGAGTGATTAGTAAATGCAAGTGATTAATGCAACACAATCTATTTGTGTTTTCACCTACTACTCTCTGCATATTTAAATATGCACAAACAGATAGATTGTGTTTTCATATATAAGTTTTAGAGTATCCCAGAAGGGCATATAAATAAAAAGAAAAAAAAAAGATTTATTGTAACATAAAAAATTGTCTGTAGTCACAGTGCAACTATGGGGAAAAGAAATTATTGAAGCATAGCTCAGGTAATTTTAAGAGACTGATGCTAATAGATAGTGGAGGCTGAATACATTCTGAATTATGAAAAGAAAGAAAATAGTGGACAAAGGAAGACAATAGCAATAATAACTACCACTTATTGGGTTCTTACCATATATCAGAACTATACTGAATGCTTAAAAACAGTCTCAACTCTGCGAGAATCCATTTATCAAGTGTTTAATACATACCACTTTATTCATGGAACAACTATTTGAGTTAGGTACCATTATTTGCTCTGTTCTCCAAATGAGAACACTGACAGAGTTGCATCAACTTTCCCAAGGTCACATGAACTTGAAAGTGTTCAGTCAGATAGAAAAGCCAAAATAGGCTGATTGCAGAGACTATGCTTTCTAGTAACCCCTCCAGTATATTCTCATTTAACTACTGATCTTCATCTCAACCCAGTTGGGATGGGTCTTATTCATCCTATTTTAAAGATAGGCAGATGGAGGTAGACACTAAATAACTTGCACAAGATTCCTTATGAGTTCTAGTAGCAAGATTAGAACTGGTTTAGTCTGGTTCCAGACTCTGAACTTTCCACCCTATTATTCTGCCTTTGTTACTGTATTTTTTATTCTTCAGTTTTTTGGTCATTTGGTCATTTATTTAACAAATATTTGTTGAACACTTTGTATAATGCTTTCTTCTGGGCTCTGGGGATACAAAGAAAGTGAAAAAGAAAGTCAAAGTTCCAAAGTTTACATTCTAGTTGTGGGGGGAGATAGGCAATAAACAAAAAAACCAATAAGTGAATGTCAAGTGTTAGTAACTGCAATGAAGAAAAATAAGGTGATGTAAGAGGCTAGAAAATGATGGGAAGATAGGTGTATTCAAATTTTTTAGATAAGATGGTCAATGCAAGGAAATGTGCAACTGTCACTGGTAATTTTATGATACTGTCATTTTCTATCACAAGTATCTTGACTCCCTGGTTCATATGACATTGAAACTGAATCTGAGTTTTATATCATTCTTCTGGTTTCCAGAAGAATATGCGTGACTTAACATCTACCATTTCATTGCAGAGATGATTTTATGCTGGTTTTATTTTGTAATTCTGCTTGAAGAGACAAAATGAATAATTGTTTTCTTTCTAACTATCAAAAATAACCAGCATAATAAGGTGAACCAATGTTTGGACTTAATAGGAAAATGTGCCTTGCCAACAATTAAGGAAAATGGTCTTCTCCCGTCATTAACACTTGATGTGGGATATTAGTTCTTCCAGGTAATCTCATGATAAAAGCAGTAGTGATGTCAAGAACTAATTGACAGATTTTAATTGAAGAACACTTATATTACAGAGTATATGACAGTGAGATGTACAAAAAAACTTGTTTTTGCTTTTCTTTAAAAAGCTGAAACTCTTCTTCCCAGTAGTAATTAAAAATAAACGGCAGTCATTAACTTACTGTGGGCTTCTAATGGCCACAACATTGCTTCCTTGCATGAATGATTTACTGATCTCAAGCAAAGTAATTCAACACTGAAGTTATCTTGAAAATTAAAAACCATTCTAGATAATGAATAGTTTCAATTTCTATTGCACCAATTTATGTGTAGTCTTTTCTTTTTAATGTATTCTTCTGCACACGTACAACCTGCTAACAAAAATGGTCTGAAAGGGACTCTACACAAAAGAATAGCTCACAAAGCTCAGTTTCTGTGCTTAATTCTATAGACTTAGAGGTGACATTCACTCATTCATTCATTCAACCAACATTTATTGAGAAGCTTTTTTAGGCTAAGCATTTTCCCAAATGCTTTGGGAGTAAAACAAAACAAAACAAAACAAAACAAAACAAAACAAAAAAAAACGGTCTCTGCCCTCAAAAGAATTTATTATTATAGAATTGAATAATATTTTATTCTAATCTTGTTCCTCTTATTTAATTGGTTGTATCATAATTTAATTAACCATTCCCATGTTGTAGGATATTTAGGAAATATATATATGATATAAAAAGGCTGCATTAAAAGAAAAAAGCCTGTGTTGAGGATGTGAGGGAGATCTGGCTGTGATATCTGTCACCCCATTGATCGCCAGGGTTGACTCAGCTGATCTGACTGGCTGGGGGGGCCCCTTCCTCCTTCACTGCTCCCTGTGCATCCCTCCTGACACGTGCTACTCGCTCTGTGAAAGAGGAGGCCCTTTCCCAATAGAGGAGGACTGTTCTTCTGTCAAGGGTATAGGAGTAGCTGCATTTCCCTGCTAAAACCTCCAAACGAGCTGCCTAGGTCCATTTGTAGAACGTAGGGTAGTCAAGCTTCCAAGACTCTAGACACATCCAAATAGGGCGCTGCATGTGGCAGTCTGCCTTGCTTTAAAAAAAATGTTTGTGTTGAATACTCCTGATAATAAATATTTATTCACATTTCTGATTATTTTTTTGGAATGGATTTCTACACAACAGTATAATAACTAGGTCAAAGGCATGTACATTTTAGTCTCTTAACAAATTTGATGAAAATAAGTCCCAAATTGCAAAATAGGAGAAAAGCTTGTATCATTTTATATTGCCACCAACACTGTATGAGAGAGCCTTTTCTTATTCCGTTTCCTTGTCAACCTTAAGAATATACAATGTTCCTGGGGCACCTGGGTGGCTTGTCAGTTGAGTGTCTGACTTTTGATTTCAGCTCAGGTCATGATCTCTGGGTCCTGGGATGGAGCCTTGCATTGGGCTCCACACTCAGTGGGGAGTCTGCTTGAGGATTCTCTCTGCCCTCCCACCTCCTCAAATAAATAAATAAATCTTTTAAAGAAAGGAATATAGAATGTTCCACTAAATATGTATCATTGATCATTAATCTTTAATAGTCTTCCAAATTATTACAAAGTTTCTCATTTTCAAGAATAATTTATGAAATAATATAATACTGATAAAAATTTTTCAGCTGATATTGATAGTTTAAATCTGACAAGGGATCATCCAGGGTTTTGTTGTTGTTGTTTCTCATATATGCTGATTTTTAGAGTATTAAGAGGTTATGAATAATGCTGTCTGTTGGTTTGAGAAGTTTGATTAAAAATATGAAGATTACAGTTGATCAAATTGAATATTGACATAAAAGCAAATGTCAGAAAATAAATAGATCTGTATTTTGTTAGAGCTTATTTCATAAAAAATATACTCAGGATATTGAGAATTAAATATGGTAGTAAAACATTGTATTTAGTTCTACTGTGTTATATTTTAGCACAAAATTCTTACCTAAAGAAAAGTGAAAAAAAATACTGTGCATAGGTTTTACAAGGTCCTAACCCAATGTTACTTAAAAATGAAGTTATAGAGTAGCTTCATGGTTCGCCTGTAATTATCTGTTGCATCTTTATAACAGCATTTTTGCCCTTTGTTTCTTTGTATGCTCAACTACTTGATCTTTCTGTTCTTATCTCAGTGGTTATGTATGCTCTTTATTTCTAGAACCATTGGCCACAAAAACCGGTATGTCAAAGTTCCCCGGGGTCACATCTGGGTTGAAGGTGATCATCATGGACACAGTTTTGACAGTAATTCTTTTGGGCCGGTAAGTCATCTTGTTGCATGCTAATAATTGGATACATGTAGGAACAAAATTATGTCAGGTGGGTTACTCAGGTAATCCAGCCAAGAATGATCGTGAATTGTAGAGTGAAGCAGTTTATATTTGAAAAGTTCCTTTTAAATATTATATAGATAATATAAGCTGTCAAGGTGTGTGTGTATGTGTGTGTCTTTCATAGAAAAGAACTTAGATCCTTTAATAAAGGTTTCAGTTTCAGGGCTGACTAATCCCAGTAGGAAGGTTTAGTGATTTTCTCCACAGAAACACTTTGTGCCTTATGTTTTCAGTTAGTGTTTAATAGATATAATGTGTAAAAGACCTATAAGCATCAGTTTTCTAAATCGTTTGTCAAAAATGCAAGTATGATGGAAATCATTTTGGTAAGTCCCATTTTATCCGCATTTAATTTATAACAGAAATGTGGACATTCCTTATGCCTTGTTTATATTCTATGAAATATATGATTAAACTGATATTTTGTAATTTTTTTCATTTTGAATGCATATGGAAATTCTCTATGAACTCTTGAAATAAATCATTATGTAAAGTGAAGTATTTTAGTTAGTAGAAACTGAACCTGACTTCTAGTTACCTATGTCTGTTTAAAAACTTGTATCTTTAGCTCATTAGATTTTCCTATAGCTAGACCTATCTATATTTATTATGTATGTGTAAATTAATATTGAGCACATTCAGATATGTTTGCAAAAACAATTACCTGCATGCTTTTGTCTAAAACTAAATGTTGATGGTCTATAAAACAATTTCTATCGTGTATTATGAGTGACCACTATTATTGTCCCTAGAGGATCAGCCACTTTGACTTACCTTTGCCTAAAAGTACAGTAAGAGAGATGGGGTTGGATGGGTGTTATATGGATAAGTGGAAGAAAACTTTATATGAGATTACTCCTACTTCTTTTGGGGGGGAGGGTTTGCAGTGATGATAATAAAACCTTCTAAGGTCTTTTTTGCTTTTGAATAGTAATTATTACAAAAATGCAGTTTAATCTTTATAGGGTATATCAAAGATGGGATGAACAGATTGGAAATGTTATAGGTCATTTAGAGTGTGGTAGAAGTGACTTAGGAGAAAATTTAGTAGCAACTTGAAAGTGAAAATAAATCATCTAAAAGCTGTTTTATTTCTCTCTCATCAATGAGATTTAATCTATTGAGTGTATCATGTCGTTGGCCAAATCCACATTAAAATTTTGGTTAACTTTGGTTTGGGTTTTAATTCGTTAGGGTAGTGACTCTGAAATCAAGTGTTAAAATTATTGTGTTTTGTTATCAGGTGTGGGGTGTGTGGTGAATAATTAGGTATTCACAATAAAGTACTAGAGTTTGAGGTTGCTTTGCTTTTTCTTTATGAATAAATAAAGCCAATGCAATATTGCTTATATAATTACTATTATTGTCAATCTATCATATTCCATATGCTTTCTTATTTGGGAGAGAAAATGATAGAGTTGATAGAATACTGGGAATTGCCTGTAACCCTCAGTGTATCATATCTATTGTGCAGCTTTTCCTGGGCTCTGTTTTCTGTTGTGCGCTTAATAACAGCATTTTGTACCATTGAACTGTGAATATACCCAGGAAGGTGTATCAGCTATGGAAATACCCTGTCATTTATATCTCTCAAAGAGGGAGAAAGCGGGGCACCTGGGTGGCTCAATTGGTTAAGTGTCGGACTCTTGATTTTCCTCAAGTCATGATCTCAGGGTCCTGAGATTGAGCCCCGCGGCAGGCTCCCAGCGTAGAGGCTGCTTAAGATTCTCCCTCTCTCCCTCTGTCTGCCCCTCCCCCTGCTTGAGTGCATGCTCTCTCTCTCTAAAAATAGATAAATAAATAAATAAATAAATAATAAAATAAAGTAAGAACCATGTATGAAGGATCCCATTGTATTTTTTACAATAAGAATCTACAGTATGCAAAACATTGACAAATATATTGTGTGCAGCACTTTAATGACATTTGGTTTAAATTGTGTTTTTAAATGAAGTCTACTTGTTCAATAAAACATGACCAGTAATAAGAGTCAGAGGCACAAAACCATTGTGAAATTTAGTGGTTGTTTTCTTCCCTTTTTAATTGTTATAAACAAACAAACAAGCATAAAGTCCCTTGGTTCATGGGGTGGGCTAAGCTATCAATATCCACTCACTTAACTAGTTTTATTTTTATTTTTCAAAATTAGGTGAAGAACCTTTCTAGGATGAAAGAAAATATTTGTCATGTCCTGTATAAAGCTATTTGTATTTGATGAGTTACAGGACATCTTTATTTTACTTTTACAATGAACTCTCCTGTTTTGTGTACCAATAGCATTTATGACTAGGAACAATTATTAATATTGATGCTCCCAAGCACATCTTAAAAGGACAAAAGGGGAAACAAGTGAAATAAAACTTGCAATCCTTACTTAAAGCTAAACTGTGATATTGGAGTATAGAGTTTTCTTATTGCATTTTTTAAAAGATTTTATTTATTTATTTGAGAAAGACAGTGAGAGCATGAGTGGGGAGAGGGAGAGAGAGAGAGACAATCTCAAGCGGCTTCCACACTGATCATCGAGCCCCATATAGGGCTGGATCCCAGGACGTGGAGCCCATGACCTGAGCTGAAATCAAGAGTCAGGCACTTAACCAACTGAGGCACCAGGTGCCCCTCTTCCTCTCTTCCATTTTTGATTAATGAATGGTTATTGGAATATTTTGGTGATTATTTTAAAGTTTTTATAATTCTAAAAAATAAAAGGTAAGATTTTGCAATTCTAAAAAACTAAAAAATTTTGAATTTTAAAATTCATATATACTTGGAAATTATTATATTTTTCCAATAATTCTAAGTTGCATTTTTTGGCTTATCAATCAGTGTACTTGGAGGTTATATGTGGAAGGTCAGTAAGCTCTAGGCTTTCTGGATGGTTGATTCATTTCTCCCCTTGGAAGTAGGGAATGCACGTTTTCTTGATGTAAACAATCTATCCTACGGCAGCCAGGATTGTCTCTGAGATGCTTATCTTGACATTTTGATTGAAGTCTTTATCCTTCATTTGCCTACCAAATAATTTCAGAAATGTATTCAAATAGTTTTACATGCTTTAACTTTTTGAATAGTAATTATACTCTATAATAGAATTTACCTAGTTTATTTTAAATTGTGGCCTACTAGCAGTCATAATGGAGGTAACTTTTTCCATATTCAGGTAGACTATTGCTTGAAATCTAAAGAAGAATAAGAAAGAATGTCTCATTCTGGTGTTTTTCTAGTTTGTTTTATTCTTTCTTATTTATTCTTTAACATTTCAGTTTGCTTTTCTGATTTGTTTTATTGCCACTCTGTGGAGACTTTCAGGAGGGAATGAAATAGTTATGAGTAAAAGATGAATAATGGATTATGAATTTAAAGACAGCAATATTGATATAGCAATAGAATACATACAGAAGAACAAGATCCAACCTCTGTACTTTTAAATTATAGAGAATGACATTATAGGAAGAAACAGAAAATCAGATAATTTTGGTTATGGACATCATCAATCAATTAACTTGTATGGGTCCACATTTCCTCATGTATAAAAGGAAGATTTTTTTCTTCTCTGAATCCATCTTAAATAAATAATAAAAAGTATATATTTTATCTCAATAGGTGATAAAATTTAATTGTACTCCTACGATATATATAACCAAAAGAGATATCATCACAATTTTAGTAAACATCCTCAGCAACCTAAAATAAGAACATAATTAAATAAAGTGTGGTTCATTCAGAGTTTGAAATATTATCAGTCATTAAAAATTATATTTGTGACATACATGACATAATGTTCATGATATTGTTTTAAGTAAAAGCATAAATACCAGAATAAACAGTATTATGTTAATTGTTTCCAGATGTTATGACTATGGTTGATTCTTTTTTGTACCTTTGTACTTTTTTGTGTGTGTTTTAAAAGATTTGCAACAAGGGGCGCCTGGTGGCTCAGTTGGTTAAAGCGACTGCCTTTGGCTTAGGTCATGATCCTGGAGTCCCGGGAACGAGGTCCGTATTGGGCTCCCTGCTCAGCAGGGAGTCTGCTTCTCCCTCTGACCCTCCCCCTCATGTGCTCTCTCTCTCTCTTTCTCTCTCTCTCTCAAATAAATAAATAAAATCTTTATAAAAAAAAGACTTGCAACAAGTTTTATTATTTTTATAATTAGAAAAAAACCTGGGGGCGCCTGGGTTGCTCAGTTGGTTAAGCGACTGCCTTCGGCTCAGGTCATGATCCTGGGGTCCTTGGATCGAGTCCCGCATCGGGCTCCCTGCTCGGCAGAGAGTCTGCTTCTCCCTCTGACCCTCCCCCCTCTCATGTGCTCTCTCATTCTCTCTGTCTCAAATAAATAAATAAACTCTTTTAAAAAAAAAAAAAAAGAAAAAAACCTGAGTTCTTTTAAAAAGTAGGATAAAGCTGTTTAAAGTAAATGGCTTCTAAGTTTCATTCTGACTCTTAAGTTTTATAAACATGTTTTATGGTCCTATGACCAGAGGGAAAAATATCACATATGTCATTGGGTAGGAAGTGTTTCAATTATGGAAAATATCCCTGTGGAATATCTTCATGGTAAACCTCTTGAATATATATCATCATAACACAATACAGAAAATATCCTATCTTATAATATGGATTCACTAATGTATGACTCTAGCTTAGATTTCTACTGTGAGAAATAGCTTCTGTAATCTTCCTTTAAAACTATGATAATTATCTAGAAGTGTTTTTCAGTTACTTTATTTTATCGGATTATATATTAAAGATATCTGATGATTCTGATATATTGGTTTATGATTGCTTAGAATATTGGATAAGCTCTTCTCTTACCAATTCTTTTGTTCCATGAAATTAGTGTCTTTCTCTTTACCGTCCCTACTTCCGTGTAGATAACATTAAGACACTTTCTCCTGTAGCCATGTTGTTGTTCTTTGTAAGCACTCAG